GAGCCTCTAAAGGGAAGGGGAGAGGGTAGGGTGAAGAGCCTAGATTTCATGTTCTAGATATCTCTTTGCGACGCCATATCGACATACGAAGTCCGTCAAGTACAACCATTCCGCATCTTTGCAGCGCTCTATAGGTTTTTGCTGATGAAGGTAATTTATTACTGCACGTGTGAGCTCAAACCTGCATCTGGTCACTACGTTTGTGTCCAGATCACCGAGCCCGCATACAAAATTCAACAATATTCGGCACGACTAAACGAGCGCGGCGGGCGCGATGAGCGCCTAGAAAATTTACCTTCGGCCATTGAATCGATCCTTCTTGGTAAGTTCCATATGAAATACTCTTTTTCTAGTTTTCGATTTGGATTTTTTTAGATTTTATGGAAGACGTCATTGGTTATGGCCACCACGAATTGAAAGCACCAGCCCACGACATGTCCAAGTCTAGGTATGTGTAATGTTTAGTGCGACTCTTATATTCTATCTTCTTAGGTACTTCGCCAGTCTCGGAAAAACTGAAGGAGAAAGGCATGCGAAACTCAAACGGCTGTCCGCTGAGAGGAGAATATATCGCAAAGTGATGTTCAAAGCCTTGCAAATGGCTATGTGAGTAAGTTTTCGGAATTTGCCATCTTTATGCGATTTATTTATAGGAGAGATGTTCGCAGTTACGACTACGACCGCGCGAAAATGAAATGGATTCCAAATGACGTAAGTTGATTCTCTATACTTTTCCGAGATACACAATAATGTATTTCAGAAGAAGAAACGAGCCGTACCCGCGAAACAGCTAGACATTCAAGTGGAACCTGATTGATTACTTTAGAAATGTTGTCTTTCCAAGATTTTGTTTTCTTATTATCTCCTTACATGGATTCTCGCAATGAAGATCACTTTTCATATTGAATGTTGTAATTTTCTTCCATCTCTTGCCTTGAAGTGTAACTCAAGTTGATTATTAGATCTCGTTCTAGTTATTGTTCGTTGTTTCTCAGTTAGTTTTCCGTATGTTATGTAGAAACTGTATTTTTCTGCTTGGATCTCAGTAAATTGCTCTTCTTTACTGGTTTCCTACTCATATTATGCACACACTGCACACAAAAGACCGCAAAATTATCAACAACCGCTCAAATGGAAGTCACCCGAAAAGCTGGTTGCGCTTGCCCGGTATTGCTCGCCAGATCGTCCGGCTTTTATTACTACC